AGTTGGACTGACGAGGAAGAGGAGGAGTTGTGGGTGGAGTAACTGTAGCAAGAGGCTGCTGTCCATAACGTACAGCCTGATCCCTTTTATTTAAAGAGCTATGTGATAAAGCATTGATGTCGGAGAGTCATTTGTGCTGATTTGACTTTGTTTTGGTGTTTCTTGAAATCGATGCAGTTACTTAGCTTTAATTCTAACATTTACTCATTTCAATTAAATATTCTAAGAAAGGGTATGTTGCTTTGTTCTGATTAGACAACCAATTTTTTTTTTACGTTTTATTTTGAATACATTTTGTCACACTGAGTTTGACATGCATGCAGAACCTCAAACATTGTCTTCTAGACAGGTTTCCTGCATTAGCTGCTGAAAAGAAAACCCTTAGGTCTAAAAAAGCCAGACAGATACGTCACACACTCAAACTAACATTCATGGACTCGCCCATCTTGGCTCTGCGATGGGGAATGCTGTTGTTGCTGAGGACGTCTTGGCTAGTAGAAGCTAAACATTAGAATTAGCAACTCCACAATATCAAGTTTCAATCAATCAATCTGGCAGAACTCCTCCAGGCTTGAATTATTTGTGGAGATAAAGCATCAATGTGGAAGAGCAAACAGAGGCAGCAGAAGAGTCACATTGCTGTTATCCAATTAGAGGTGAGATGTCCAAATATCAGGAATATTAAAGGCTCACTATGCAACTTTATCATATTTTAAAATAATTTCCCTGTGCCAGTATGTGCTAAATGACCCTTTACTGAGTTAATGAATAGTCCCTGAGACCCCCCTGGCTGGTTTGTGACACTCCATAAACTATAATGGATTATGTTTGAAGCAGTGACGTTCCGTTGATGTTCCGCGCCGCTGAGGTTTCCAGTGTGCTGTAGGAGTTAGTGATGAACCGCTCCTGTAGAAGCTAATGAAGGCTGAGAAGACATTTCAGCAGTTAGATTAAGATGTAAAAAAAAAAAACGCAGAGTTAAGAGATAAGTTTCACTTTCGGTTTTATGAGAGTGAATTAATAACGGACTCTAGGGGGTGCTAAAAGCAAGCTAAAACTACTAAACGTGCCCTTAACAAGTAAGATCCACCCCATGGGCTAATTTCTACTTTCTACCAGAGAATTTTTTCCACAGAAACGACTCCCAAGGCAATCATTTATAACAAAGACCACAGCAAATGTATTGAAAAAATGTGTAAATGAGAACTTTAAATAAAATAAAAAGACTCACTTATCTTCCTTCACTTTTGATTACGTAATACTGGTTTCCTCAATTGTATTAAAACGTTTTATTTTAGCTAAATAAAAAGGCTGTTTTACCTCATTTAAACCTTTTAGAATGAATGGAAAAGTGACATTTCACACTGTTAAAGAGGCATTTGGCATGTTTGACCCTTTTTTAATAATGATTATTTAGATTCACACAGCAAATGATGGCAAATATGTCATTCTAGCTAAGAATACTTTATTTATTTATTTTTAGTAATAACAAATCGGCTGATGTCAGGTCATAGTAAAATATTTTAACCACCACAGCTTTGAATTACGAGCCAAAGGTTACAGTAGATAAACTGTAGGAAATGGAATGTGGCCAGAGATTCTTTAAAGAGCAAGTCACCCCAATTCAACTTTTTTTTCTGATAAACTATATAAATGCGTGTCTAATCATGCTGCAGACACGTGTAGTCAATAGTTAAGCATTTTTGTTAAAATTTTAATTTTCTGCCTAAAATTGTCAGTGTTGTGCCGTTGTAAGGTAAAAACTCTGCACTTCATTTGAATTTAAATCTGCCATCACTATTGGCCCTAGGACGTTAGCTGGTACCATATGATGTCACAATATCGTTGTGAGCCTGTGTGTGTGTATTTTTTAGCAGCTCTGCCCTCTCGGTCTGCTAGGCAACAGCATTTGTTGCGTTTTTCAAACAGGAAGTGGGAGCGGAGTAATACTCTGGTAGGGGGTGACTTGCTCTTTAAACTACATTGTCAAGCAGCTGAGACACAAACAGGGACACTCCCATTTTAGTGAGGCTGTAATCAAACACAACTGAAGCTGCAGCAGAGTGAGACCATCGATGTAAACCTGTCAAAGGGTTGCAGCCTGGAAATGTTTTCCAAAAATATTACTGTTCTTGAATTGCAGCCTTGAATTTAGTCTCCACTTGATAGGTTCTAGTCTTACACCCATGTCTGTCTGTGATGTCATCAGAACTTAACGTTGATGCGATCGTTTTTTCTTACATCAAAGATAAAATCAGAACAATTCACCAGGGAGTTTCCAAAATGTTTCCAAACATTTGCGAGGGTCTCGGATCGCAGGAATGTCCGAAACATCTAAAATCTGGAACCTGTCTCAAACTCGTGGATCAGAAAGTGTGAGACTTGTTGGGGAGAGCTTGCAAAGCTGAAAACCAGAGAAAATTTCTGTGAAAACCTGCTCCGTGAATGAATAATCAGCTGAAAATTTAATGGAAACATATAATGACTTTTTTTTTGTTATAGTACGGTTGATACAAAACATGTTCATGAACCGGGAAAGGTTTAGGATTAGAGCCCTGCACGGGCCAAAAATCTGAGCCCGTGTCCGGCCCAGCCCGAGGGGGGGTGGAGCCCCAGCCCAACCCGGGCCGAAAAGGTTTTCAGGATTCTCTGGCCCGACCCGAGCCCGACTTTTTTTTTTAACCAACTAAATGAAAACAAAGTGCGTCAATCCTGACCAATGTGTTAAAAGACGTGCAGGGTCCGATCAATTTGTTTTTCCCTTGTTTACCGTCACGGAGATAACGGCGCACTGGCTCTGGTGTTAATCAAGTTAAATTTTATCTCTTTCCAACAATTTTCACAAGAAAACAAAACAGTCAAAAGCAGGGCTTGTGTTGTGTTGACCGGATAGTTCCCGTATTTGACGGTTTATTTTGACAGAGAAAGAATAGAAAGAATTACCCCGACGCAAGCAGACGAACTGACATTTTATTCATTACGCACATCGCAGATGTAGCTAAATCACCCAAGAAAAGTTTCCCATCTGAACATCTGAGCTGCTCAGCGCAGCTCGCTGTCAGCGCATATGTGCACAGTGAGCTGAAGTTGTGGAGATTGGCTTGGGGCGCGTTGCAGAACCAGAGCGCATGCGGGAAGATTCCTCCCACTCAAGCGAGTGGTTTCCAAACCCTGTCGCTCAGAGAGACTAGTCACTTAGAAAATGTTCCCTGATTATGAAACTTTGGCTGAATAGTGCTTGTTCCTGTCTCCAATGTGGCGACACATCCAGGAGCCGTCTGAGGAGAATCCCAGAATCTCATATCCTCTTCAGCTCAGAAAGCGCCTATGATTACGCACAAGCGTGACGCGTCAACCCGGTCTCACAGTAAGACTGGGTTGGGCCTGTTCAGGTTTACGCAGACAATCTTTACATAGAATTGACTTACAGATATAAAATTAATTCAGTAAAATATAAAGCATTTTATTTAAATATCCATTCATTATTTTACAAGCACAGAGAGCCGCATCAGATGGATGGAAGAGCCGTGGGTTGTGACATGTTTTCTCCAGGACCAGAGAGGACACAAACTCAATACATCTCTTTTATTGTGAAGTAATAATTTCTCCGAGTTTTGCGGTTGCGGGCGGGAGTAGACATGCACGCTGCGGATGCGGGCGGGAGTGTAACACACACGTTGCAGTTGCGGGCGGTAATGGTCAGAAATTCAGCAGGAGCGGGATGAAGAAAACAGTCCCGCGCAGGGCTCTACTGCTGCATTTGTGTTTCAATTTTTTTAATAAATTCGATTAAAAATAAAGGCGCCCGGCCCGTGTCAGAGGTAATTACACAGTCGTTGGCCCGAAGCCCAGCCCGAGGGCCGTCGGGCCGTGCCGACCCGAGGGCCTAGGGATTCAGTGCAGGGCTCTATTTAGGATTGAAGACGTTCTGGGGCTTAGCCCAGAGGAGTGATGGATTTTTTTTAGCACATCCAAGAAATTGGATCTTTCTTTTTACTATGCAGAATCTTGACTTTGACATTCTGACCACCTTAAAGCAGAAAAACACTGGATTACACTTGTGATTTAATCTGATATAATAATGTCATCGTTGACAACTATGAACTATTCTGTAGAACAATTTAAACTGACTCAAGCTCATATTCTCAACAGGAAAAATCATAACATTTAAATATTTTCTAAGCGCTGAACAAACACAGCTGAGAGGTGCATCGTTACTGTGGGTGTTTCCTCTTTCGACACTTATTACCAGTGGGTGCGCAAGTGTTTTTGATCAAAGATCAAAAACCTTGAAAAGGCAGTCATTTTAGAATGTTATGCAAACATAATTATGGTTTTGTGTGTATTTGCATGTAAGTGAAAACTTCACACATTGAGTTAAATGCACATTGAAACAATGTTTGTGGGTTTGAAACTTTGACCCATTAAAATGACTCCTGGTGACATCGAGGTGGTTAAGCTGCTGGTAACATGAAAACTCCTTGTCACACACACGTTACTGCTGCTGTCGTGTGTGGATGTGTTGGTGGCGTTTCAACTCAGATAGATAACCAAAGTTCTTGTCACAGCAGTGGAGCTTCTTTGCTTTCTTGCTAGGTCCATCCAACGGTCTGACACTCAGTTTCTCTTCCATTTTCTCATCTTCTTTGCTGGTCAGGTTGTTTAAAGAAAAAGAAAACAAAAAACTATGAATCCAATTATTTCCAGAAATATCCTCTCACACACATGTTTACATTTGGGCCACTCCTCCGCTCAGGCTGCTATACGCTTAGAAGATCAGAAATCCAGGAAGGGCTTGGAGTAAAGCTGCTACTCCTCCAGCAGCAGCTCTCTCGTGCACATGAGAGGTGGTTTCAAGCTGTTTTAGCACATCTATGCAACGTAAACATGGTCACGAACACCCCCCCCCCCCCCCCCCAGGCATCTTCTGCCAGAACAGGATACCTGCAAGGTAACAAGAGAAGGCTAAACACCAGTCGTCATTTCCTGGGTCTGGTTTGTCTTAAAGTTGAAGCGCTAGCGGCCAGCTGTTTCTCCTCTGATATTACTGAGTCGAGAACGTTGCTAAATACGCAAGTGCATAAGTTTAGCGAGATCAACAACCGGATGATTCAATGGTTGCGTTTGGTCCGACCATTTTAAAGGCAGAGATGTTTAGACAAATGCAAATTATTTTCTTTTTTTATCCTCACAAATTATGTATAGCAATACTATGTTAGAACTTTGATGAAAAACATCACAATTTGCTATAACAGCTTTATATCTAAATTCCGTGTTTGTGACATCACAAACGGAGACTTTTTAAAACTGCTTGTTTTAGATACATAATTCTTAACCCTCTCAGGCGTAAAATGTCATGACTTGCGGGAGGCGTCTAACCCAAGGCACGCAGAATCAACACGACAACTCGGGGTAAGTAAAAAATAAAGTCTTTTATTATGAAAACGGGAACTAAAGATGCACTAGTAAGTCCGGTGAGTAGGGTGCCGTAAGGCGTTAGTCCAGAGTTCAAGTTCCGCAAACAGCGGGGAAGGTGGCGAGCCGAGGTGAGTAAGGATGGGGGTCCAGTTGAGTGAGGTGGGTGAGGAAGCGGAAAGAGGAAGGGCAGGAGCCATGGAGGAGGATGGGACGAAGTCCTGAAGATCCGGGGTTCTAGCGGCGAAGGTAATGGACATGGTAGCGGGTTCCTAAACAGGGCAAAGCAGACAGTGGTTCAGAGACGAATCCAAAGTCATAATCCAAAACAATCCAAGGTCAGAGATCCAAATAATCCAATCACGAATACACAAGCGAGCAAACAGGCGAATACGAGTGGCAGGGGCTAACCAAAATTGTAGCAATCATCCGGCGTCGAGTGGTGTCTCCATCCTCCCTTTAAACCAGAGCCTCTGATTGTGAATCCAACTCAGCTGGTGTCCCCTCCGCTCCTCACCTGTGGAAAAGAACCTCATAGATGGTTTATTGAGGAGGAGCACTCACCTCGGCTCGTGAATCATGACACAAAATAAATTTTGATAAAAGGACGAACAACCAAGTCCTTCAGGGAGACTTCTGAGTGAAAAAATGCTCATGAAATACATATGTGGAGTAACCAGGTAGGTAGGTTTTAACGTTGCAAATCTGCAACACCTGCCTCCAGAGGGTTAAACAAACTAATGTTTTTTTCATGTTTGTTGTGTTAATAGAGGCAGTAGAGACTCACAACACAAAAAGATGCGAAAGGGGACTTTTGCATAATACGTCCACTGTAAAAACACATTCATTAATGAAAGTAAAAACTACAGAATGAACTGATATTTAGATGGTTTACGTGAGACAAAATAATAGGAATTCCCATAAAAATGTACAGCAAAAGACTGACGGAAAACTGTCGACTAAATTGTGCCAAGAGAATTTGCACGACTGTTTAGAAAATGTAATAGTTGACTTAAAAAAAATCCCACAACTCAGTCAAATATACCAAATGTCTCTTGCTATTCGCCGACTGTTGGGTCAGAACTCTAATATTTAACCAGGAATTCCCTTCTCGGGTGCTTAGGGCATCCCGATCAAAAGCAGTTTATTACAGACTGGGCCACTGGTTGTTCAATATGGGGTCACAACAACAGATTAGTCTGGAGGTGGGGGGTGATGCCAACAAAACCCTTCAACCCACCCCCCACCCCACCCCCAAACACACACACACAAAGTGTACCACGTGTGGATTGTGAGGAGGTGGGGCTTTGAGGGTTATGAGGTAATCTCCCTTGGGTTGACATAATGACAATAGCTCTGAGGTTCAGTGACACACGCACGCGCACACACACACACACACACACACACACACACACACACACACAAACTCATCTGTGATGCAGACCAACAACTGGCCAGTCAATGACTTCATCTCTGCCCGTCTGTCACTCATCTCTTTGTTGCTGAAAGGATGGATTATTGGTCTTGTTGTGGACGCAGAAGAATTTGGAATTATGGGATGTTTTTAGGCTCTTTTCCTCTTTATTTGATTCTAAATTATTTTCTTTTTTAATCACTCAGCAATTGATTGTAATTTGTTAGTTCACTTATCGGTTTAAGTCCAACAACCTGCTTTAGAGGGAGTTTTTGCACGCCGATTTACCAAAATGGATGCGCATCGGGTCCAGGTCATGCGCTACTGCTTTCCTCAGAGTGTCAGTGACTCAGGATTGTTTTACAGCCACATCGCTGCCAGGTTTGTGCTGATTCTTCTGACTGTGAAGGAGCTCCATGAGTAAATGTCACCGCTGAGTGAAGTAAAATATCGAGCAAAGCGAAAAATCAAGTTGTGGATTTTTTATCTGTTTGATCAGCGAGGTTTGATTTTTGGAGAGCTAAGAAATCGTTGGTATTCTGGGAGCACAGATGGACAAATCTTTCTGTATTTTAATCTGAGCTAAAATACTAATCTGTAATCTTTAATCTGCCCTCTACAAACTGCTGTATAGAAGCAGAAATGGGGTTATTTTAGGATTTAGTTACTGTTCGCATAAATAACACAAATAAGTGCTTGGTTCCTATCAGAAGTTTTAACTTCGATCTTTGTGAATTTTTAACATCATCCAATCGATTTCATCTTTTCATTGAAAGCCAGAGATGCAGCCCTTTGAGTGTCTTCCGCACCGAGCTCCTTCGTTATTCTGCACACTCCTTAGCTTCACATTGAGCATTTCCAAAGAGCGGGGCTCTTTAAGGCCCTCATGCATCTTTAATTCACACATGTATTAAACACAGTTCAGCTCCTGGCTGAAGAGACAGCCTTTCAGGCCACTGCCTCTTTTTTCCCTCTTCCATCTCTCTGTGCATCCGGCTGGCATAAAGCACGATGGAAAGTGGCTGCTGCTGTCCCACATGTGAATTTGCAGAATCAAAGAGTTGGACGCCTTTTTAATCATTGATTTGGGTGTTTTGTTTAATCATTAACTGGGACATTCAGACCCCATTAATGTGGTTTTCATTAATACCATTTAAAAGCATGGACATTGATCTGTGTGTCTTGGTTGTTTGGGGCTTAGCTGTGTGCCATTCTGCTGCTTTTCCTGTTACTTGTTTAGATTATAATGGTAACGCAGAGCTTGGATTAACTCGCTGGAAACACTCAGGACAACATGTGGCATGGATGCTGGGATCTGCTTATTCTTGTAGATTCAAAAGCCCTGAGCTGAAGTGTTTGCAGGAAGGAACCTTTGATGATGGACTTGCTCGTGATCAGAGTGGAAATCTCTGAAGTGTGGTGGTGACTGTCTGCAGGTGTCCGAGCTGTTTCTCTGTCCCCACACTCGACTGCTTACTGTAAACAACTAGAGACACACTTCTCTTCTCATAGTGTAAAGCTGCGGTCAGGCATATGATCCATGGTGGGTACTATACACAGATGCTCACCTTTTTATGCTTTTAAAGATAGATTCTTAAAATTTTAATACCCTGACCTTGTGTTCACATCTTTTAGGGTATAAATGATCAATGAGGACAAGCATGTGGAGAATCCAATGTTATAAGCACGAGTCCATACTCTTTAGATGGAGTAAACCTCAGTTTTAGCTATTATATATTTTTAAATGTCTCTTTTTAGTTAAATTGTTTATATTCTGGTCATCAGTTCAACAATTTTTCTTAAAGGAATGCCTGATTTTAACTTAAAGAGATACTATGCAAATTTTTAATATTTCAAAATCCTTTTCATGAGCCAGTGTGCACTAAAATGACCCTTTAAAGCAGGGCTATTCAATTCCAGGCCTCGAGTGCAGGTATCCAGCACGTTTTAGTGGTTTCTCTAGTCCAACTCACCTGATTCAGTGGTTGAATCACCTGTGCAGCAGCTCATCAGGCTCTGCGGAAGCCTGTTAATCTCCTTCTTATTGAAACCAGGTGTGTTGAAGCCAGGTTAAAACCAAAATGTGCTGGATACCGGCCCTCAAGGCCAGGAATTGAATAGACCTGCTTTACAGAGTTAATGAAATGTAACTCGGAACACTGCATTTGCAACTTCAGAGTGGCAGACCGACACCTGAGGGCACTGCAGTCTGCTTCCAGCATGTTTCCTGCATGTTATTAATGTTGAACTCAGCTGATTTGTTTTATTTAGTGATAAATCACTCCTGTCGAAACTAATGAAGACTAAGGAGACATTTCAGCTGTTAGATTAAGGTGTTAAACGCACAGCAAGGAGATAAGCTTCACTTTTGCTTTGACCACAAATAATTAATAATGGACACTAGGGAGTGCTAAAAGCAAGCAATACTACTTAGTATCCCTTTGAAGGTAATTTTTTAGCAAGTAAATAAGACGTTTGTATGTTTGATCTAAACAAATAAACTTCCAACTAAACCTCACTAAAAACTGAACCGCCAGTCATCTGGGCCAAAGCAACCAAACAGAATAATATTTGCATCCAAGCTGAATCCTCTTCCTATCTAGATATCTCATCAAAAAGACTACATTTTACTTACTACTGGTGATAATTATGATTTAACCACAGAACTTCATGTAGAATAATCTTGCATCAACTTTTATGAGATTTTTGTCGACAGGAGCTGCTTACAAGTGACAATGTGTAGTTTTTACCACTAATCTCTGGAAATATCCATCAAAATGTTGTTGTCAATTAATTAAAAGATGCCCAGTTGCTGAAAAATATTGGCAGTTTCATAACATATAACTATAAAAATCTGTTCTAAAATACATGGGAGCGAGTCTCCGGGCGACGCCATTTTGGATGCCGTATTTCCTTCTACGGAAGCCCGTGAGGACAAAACACATTTACTGATTTGCAACAAATGGTTACAAAAGTTTCACCAACAATAAACGCTTTGTTTTACACATTTACCTCTTCACTCATTGCTAGTGATGAAAGTGATTGGGATGTTCTTGTCATCTTGCTGGAGGTTGCACTCCCAGGAATTTTTTACCCTAATGGCCATCTGTTGGTAAAGTCTACTTGAACACAATAATAATGCTTGCTTGCATTGATTTAGGTATGTACTGCTCCCATCACCAGGGAAAATACACACTGTCACTTTAAGATGGCAGCCATACACTTTGATTTTAGCTGCTTCCAAACTAGCTGTTAGCTTATCAGTCCTAATAGATTTCGGGTGTTTCTCAATGTCAAGGCGCCTTGCCTTGCGAGGCAATGTCTTGCAAGGCCAGGCGCCTTGCTTACGAGGACACTGTCCTTCCTTGGTCAAAGAAAACGGTTAAGTGGAACAGACTTGCATCACGTGACCGCGGCTTCCACGGCGGTCACGTAACGTCACGTTACACGGGAGATAACGTTATATTTTATATGTATTAGTTTCAATATAAATATATAACGAGCCTTTTACTTTTTAAATTGTGTATATGTTTATTAAATAAAAAATATAAGCAAGCTACTACCCGCTAGCCACTGAAGCTGCAACTATTAAGCAACTAACCAACAATAGATAACTTCTTTGGATCTAAAAAAAAAACATTTTAAATTAGTTGACTTACTTTTAAACTTGAAAATTGTACCCGAAGTAGCTGCCGGCTTCTGATCCGCCATCTTTTTCAAAATACTGCGGCGTATTGTGGGTAAATTTTGACCAAGGCTAGGCTACAAGCCACCTCCCGTGTATCCTTGCCCCGCTAGCTAAACGGCTAACAAACGGAGAACACATGCCTCAGTAGAACGTGAACATTGGAACCGATTGGAACACATCTTGGCAGCTCCCGATGACGTATCTCCTAGGCAAGTGGGGCGGGGCCAAAACATCAAGGCAAGGTTCCTTGGCATTGAGAAACACCCTTCATCTCTGTTTTTTTTTCAGTAACTATTTATAATGTACTCACTGTAAAAAATTATCTAATCTTACTGATGACTAAATCATTCAATAAACACATAATTATGGCAGAAAAATGACACTGCACACGTTTGAAGGATCTTGTGAAACTTTGTTGGGAGGCTGGTGCTAGCTGAAGTTGTAGCTGGGTGTGATATACCTTGAACTGGGTGAGTGAGCGTTGTCTGAATGACCATTTATAGCAAGATGACTGGCTGGTCTCAGAAGAGCAGATGACTATTTTTTCCTGCTGAAGAGTAGAGGTCGCTTTTCCTGCTAAAGTTATTTTCTACATCTGACATCACCACGTAAGGAAGCATGAAAGCAATGCAGAAAGTCCTTCATCCTCTTTGAATGAATATTAAATATTAGACACTAGTTTACAGCGTGTCAAGCATCATACAACCCTTTGCAGTTTAGCGTGTTTCTTTTGTAACACTCTAACATACTCTGTAGCAGATGACCTGGCTTCACTCTACTCCTCAGTAATAAAGTTGGCTTGTGCTGTTTTTAGTTCCCGGGGCCCCCTTTCCCTCCCGGTGCCTGTGAGCAGTACTTTCCCCCATGAAGCAGATTAGAGGTCTAGTACAAGACTTAAGTCCTGGTTAATTTGGGTTTAAAACTGCAGTGAGGTAATGATCCACCCGCCTTGGCTCCGTCTCTAATCCAACCTGTCAGTCAGGCCTCTTCCATGTGTCAGCCCAAGCCCCACACCCACTTGGACCCTCTGCTGTAAATAAATAGATTCACCTCTGCCCAAAAAACACAAGAGGCGGAGGCTTTGCCGCTGAATTCCCAGCAAATCCTCTAAGTTACAATCCTCGTGGTGAACACAGAAATTACAGACCGCTAACTAGATCCATACGTCCTTACACATCTGATCTGTGAATACATTTGTGTTGTTTTTAGGTGTTTCTATTTTATGAAAGCTTTTATCTGTGTTTAATGTGTATGTATGTGTATTTTGAATGGCTTTTAGGTTTAACTCTGTGCAGTGCTTTGGTCAGCTGACATGCTGTTTTTAAATGCGCTATATAAATAAAAATTGGATTGGATTGGATTGTGTGAGCTAGGCTTTATTGTCTTTTGACCCTGCTTATGCTGCTGTGTTTCACTGCTTATTTACAAAACATTCCCCTGGATTTAAATCCTCCTTCATGCTGACTTTATGTCTCTATTAGCTGCAGCAGCAACCAGGGATGCATAAAACTGTGTAATTATCCCCGCTGCCTCTCAGCTGGATTCTGTTGCACTGGAGGATTGTGTTTAAGGCTACTTAATTAGCTTGAAATTAAACTTAATAACTGAACGAAATCATCTGTGTGGCCCTTGACAGTTGATAAAATTATTTAGTCTGATTTATTATGGAATGACGGCCGTAAGGTGGTTTAGA